ACGTGGTTCCCTGTTGCCCACATAGGAGACAAGAAAGGAGTTTAGGCTCCTGGTTCCAGCCTGGCGCAGCCCTGGCTGTCGTAGCCATTTGGGTTATAGATCAGCGGGCAGGAGGTCTCTCCCCCTACCTGTCTTCTGTGTTTCTCTCACTGTCTCTCTCCTTGTCTGTCACTCTGGCTTTGGGATAACTGGTCAGAATCAACCTTTGGAAGGAAGCAGGGGAGAAAGAGAAGATAAATGCCCACCAGAGTCCTTATTCACACAGGGACTCAGAACACTTGAATTCCTTCAACTAACAAATGTCTTCGTTTAGAAATAACTTGAACACCTCAAGGTGACAGGTGCAAATTTAAAGTAAATCATAAAGTTACCAAAATTGAAGAACGCGAAGCCGAATCAGTGTACAGAAGAAAGGACAGGAAAGCAAGCAGAGTCGCAGGGATGGCGGCTAGCACAGCCTCCACTCCGTGCGGCCTGGCCAAAGGGGCTTTCGACAGATACTGTCACCTGAGAGCGTTCAGAAGAGCTGCATTTCAGAGTCCGAAAGGTCAGACAGAGCCCAAGAGCCTCATGCTCTACAAAGAAAAGATGTGAGCCATGAAAGGAACATTTCACAGAAACATAGTGTTGGAGAAATTTCCACACACACAACTATTTAAGGGAGCAATTGATGTGGTATAGCGGTTACACCACTGCTTACAAGGGCAGTCCATGTCACAGTGCCTGGGTGTGAGGAAGTCTGAATTACAGCTGTCTGCTAATGTGCACCTGGAAGGCAGCAAGCAATGGCTAAAACACCAACTCGCTATCATTCACATGAAGAGACCCAACTGGAGTTTCTAACTTCCAGCTTCAGCCTGGCCTGGCCCTAACTGGTTCAGACACTTGAGGAGTAAACCAGTCACAGGAAAACCAAATCAATATCCCCACTCTTGCTCTGTGCTCTGCCAATCAAATATATGTGTACATATATCAAACACATATATGTGTACATATATCAAATACATGCCATGTATGTATCTATATATATATAATGTGTGTGTGTATATATGTGGAATACTGCATCTTTGTAATATAACTGCTATTTATAACACATATTTATATTATGTGGGTATATATATAAAATTGTATACCATAAGTAAAAATGCATATCCCATAAATAACAAGTACAAATATCTTCTTGAAGCACCCATTGAAAATTAGTAAAATCACAGTATAGAGTAGATCATGAAGAAAACCTCACAATTTCAAAACAGTGAAAATTTAAACAAGTCATATTCTGATTGAAATGCAGTAGAATTTCACACTCTTCAAAGCTTAAAGATGACACCTAAATGTTACAAAGCTTACCAAACACTGCTTCAAAGGCTATAAAATGACAATTACAGATAATTTAGAACAAAAGCAAATGAGACTACATTGAAGTTATAGAGTAAAATGCATAGATTTATGTGATTCCATTATTCTTTTGAAACAAATAAAAACATGGGCAGAATGCTCAACTCTTCCAATTACAAGACAGTAATTCATGTCTGAGGTGACAGACAACACCAAATACTCTGATCTGATTGCTACACATTACATTTATGTACTTAACCTCCACAGGGTCCTGCACAAATATAAAAATTACAGAAACAAGAACATGAAGAAAACAATGAAGCTCAAGTCAAGGAATCTAAGAAAAGCTGACAGAAGAAACCCCGAGAGATAATCTTTTTTTAAAGCATGTTTAAAAGGTAAAAGGAAAAATTGAGTTTAAAGCGGTAAAAAAAAAAAATCACTTTTTATGTTGCAATAGGATATATCACACATACCCTGCATTCATGATCTTTTCATTCCCACCACTAAAGGTCCTGTCAAAACCGTCTTGGGTTGGCAGAATCTTCTTTTGGCTTGCGGTTTGGAGATTCACAGACTTAGATCACTGGCCACATTAGTCCGCTGCCTGGTGAGGGACCCGTGTGTGCAGAGGGAAAATCACTGGGGCAGCCAGGGAGCAGAGACGCAGGGTAGAAGCTCTGAAGTTGAACCACCTTTCTCCTGAGGGCACACCGCCACACCAAACGCCTTTCATGAGACTCAGCTCCCGAACCCAGGATTACATCAACTCTCCATCACCCATTCATATGAATCCAACAACTTGGGGTTTTGAATGTCTGCCTGAGTTGGAGGAACCAAATGTGGTTCAAACCATAACACACATTAAATATGAAACTACAAGGCGTATGGAAATATTCATTCGACCCTTCCAAGAGAAGGGTGTGTTTTTAGGTCTGGGATCAACAAAGAGTCTACATTGAAAGAAACAGGAAAATATAAAAAGTGTTTTTTTCTATATGGACAATGATCACATGCAGGAAGTTCCTACAGAAATAAGTTCCAAGGCTTATGGTACTCTCTTCACACATTTTCATATAACTTAGAATGGAGAAACAGAGATAGGACAACACTTTCCATAGTAAAGCTGGTATTGTGAAAGTATGAGTGCCATACTTGGCACTCTGGAGAATGCACAATCTAGGTATCTCTCTCACGTGCCACCTTGTCGATTTCTCAGACACAGATTCTCTCTGAAAACTTCCCTCTTGGGGCCTGCTTGCCTCTCCCCACCACATCTACTCCTCAGCTACTGTCAGGGCTTGCCAGGAAACATGGGAGATGTATTTGGCTTAATTTCACCCACTCTTCCACTCCCGTGTTCTTCACCTTTCCTGAGCCATCCAACTCACCTCTACACTCGCATGAGTTCAAGTGTGTCTGGAACAGTGTCCCACAATCACCCAAGCTAAAGTGCAGAGGTGGGCATTTAATCAGACAGTTCAGACACTCGTTAAGATGCCTGTGTCTCACATTGGAGTACCTGGGTTCAGTATCTGACTCTGGCTCCTAATTCCAGCTTCCAGTTAATGCGTAATTGGGGAGGTAGCAGTGACGGCTTAAGCACTCGAGTTTCTGCCACCCTTTCAGGACATAAGGACTGAGTTACTTGCTGCTGGCTTTCACCCTGCCCCAGCCCTGACTGTTGTAGGTCTTTAGGGAACAAAGTAGCAGTTAGAAGCTCTCTGCATACCACCCCTGCCCAACTCTGACTTTCAGATAAACACCTCTATACATGGATGTGTATGTATGTGTATGTGTGTTGAGTAGCATGAGGACTTTGCATTCACTCATAACAAAAAAATGAAAACTCAAAGTAGCTCAAACTGGAAATATGTTGATAAGTTTGGTTTTTGTTTTTACAAAATGTCTTCATATATGCACAGAATATAGTGTACCTTCTTTGTGTTCAAGAGAGCATTAAGGTAAATATAGCCACTGCAAGAAGCATCAACACACAGTTCCTTATCCCTGGGCATACACTACAGACTAAGGACTAACAAAATCTTCACTGTACTCGCTCTTTCAAACCCACAAAGATTTCAAAATAACTTCTATAGGACTCCTTAGACGGATGTGGGCATGAAAGCAGATATCTACAATTCATGGTTCCTGGAATAAGACTGCATTGCATTTCTAAGATATTCTCTCCCTTGGAGAAAAAAAAAAAACTTTCCAAATAAGGCCTTCAGTGAAGGTCCTCTAAAGGTTTGTTTGTTTGTTTGGGGTTTTTTTCTTTTTTGTAAACATGAAGAATAGGCATTTGGCACAGTAGTGAAGGTAGAATGCCATTTGTACCTCTCATACTGGAATGCTTGGCTAGGATTCCAGTTCTGCTGCTAACACCAGCTTCCTGCTAACATACACCCTGAAAGGTAGCAGATGATAATTCAAGCACTTGAGTCCCTCGCGCCCACATAGGGAACCCAGAGCAAGCTCCTGTTCCTGGCTTTTGCCTGGCTCAACACTGGCTGCTGCAGACATTTAGGGAGTAAATCCGCAGATGCAGTACAGAGCACTCACATTTCTCTCTCTCTCTCTCTCTCTCTCTCTCTCTCTCTCTCTGTCTCTCCCACCTCCTTTCATATAAAATCAAAATGAATACAGTTGTTTAAGAAGCAAGATAAATGGCACAAAACTTCAGGTTTGTTACTGTGACTTGTCTTTGAATTACCTTTTTAACTGCTTCATCTGTTAGAATGGCTATAAGTAGCCAACCATAGTTTATAGTGAAGATAAAAATGAGATGATGTGAAACAAAATACTTAGCTCAGAACAGGTTGCCCTGTTTTGGGAGAGGGAAGAAAAGCATTTTCCTGATTGAATTGTGCCTTGCAGAGTTCTTGGCTCCCCAACCCAGCAATTTTTCCCCAAGGTCTCATGGGAAAATAGGGAAGGAACACTGGACACAGCTCCCAATGGCAAGGGTGCCTCTCCAGAGAGTCACGCCAACTGTTTCTCGGATATGAAGCATCTTCTTCCTTGCATGGCTCAACTTTCTGAAACTTCTGATTTTTTATTTAATTTTTTTTAAAAATTGTCATGACAATTCCTTAGTCTCAGGGACTTCCCCTTCCACCCTCCCTATTCCCCCGTCACTGATGTACCCATACTATTACAATAGTGTAATCTTTCAGCAACAGTCACAAGTCAGGCACTCTGCCATTTAAGTGTATCATGACATTGTAGGTACAGACAATGGTAGAAAGTCCAGCATCCTAACTTCAAGATATATTTAACAGTTTCATTGGGAGTCCTTCTTTTACTTAAGAGTAAAGCTGCATACTGCAATGTATCTTCATTTCTAAGTATGCTAACCTCCATTATACAATTCCTCTGGATGAATATATGTACATGCATGCTAACCTATGTATCTACTGATCTGGAATTTTGCATGAAGGTTGCTTTACATTAGAGAGAACTATGATATTTGTCCTTTTGGGATCGGCTTATATCACTGAGCATAATGGTCTCTACTTTCCGAAATTTCTACGCCAGGAAGATGGTGGGTGACTTGATACATCACTGTACCACACCATCACCCCCTAAAAAAACACAATGTAATAGACATAACGGGCAAAACTCTGCTGAGAAGCAAAAAGTGGTCAACTGAGTCTACATACCTGGCTGAGCTGGAAGCTTCAGGATGCCTTGGGTAGGTTTTGGGGAGGTTTGCAAGTTCCTGGGCCATCACATGCTGGGTATAGTCATCCCGCCATGTAAAACCTGTGGGGAAAGTGCAAAAAGCCATATTAGCAATATGGAAATGAACATAAAGTGGTTTCTTTAACTGCCCTCCTTGCAAATGCTTTCCCTCCAGCAAACTAAGGGGCTCTGTCTCTGTACTATTAGACCATACAAATAATAGATGCATGGCTACTAAAAAAAGTTTTGAGGGATTCTTAAAGCATATCGAGCAATGAGTGTTAAACTAAATAGGACTTTAGTTAGAAAAAAAGATCTTGGTCCAATATAAAAGATGGAGACTTTTCTGCATAGTGAGGTTCTGGTCAGTGATGGTGGACTAGGCAGCACTCATGCCCTATTCTGCCTGCTCACCACCATACCATGGGCAATTTGTTCTTCCTAACCCCATCTTGCTTAAGAGGCAAGCATTTGGAATGGAATAGGGGGTATTGTTACTGTGAAAGCAATTATCAAGGGGCTTAATGTACTGTATCTGGCAGCCAATTACATTATATTTACACTCAAATGTTATGACAAAGAGCCTTATAACAAGGGTGAAGTAGTTATGAAGGCAAAATCCATGTGATTATGCATTAATTACATGCACTGTGGATCACATGATAATTATGCTCAGAATTACCAAATAACTCCCAAGAATAATTATTATGCAATTTGTACATTTTAGATCTTATGGTAACACTTCAGCACTTAGAACTACCCTATGCAATTATCTATAATTATCTAATCACTAAATATCATGTAATTACAGAGATATATTTTTTTGCCCTATACAAAAACACATTACCCAAATCTTCAAATCAGGATTGTTGCAAGGAGGGAGGTAAGCATGTCCAGAAACACACATGCTGAACGGAATTAGAAGAAATACTGAAAAAATGCAACCTGTCTTCATGAGTACGTTTGAATGTTTTTCTCAAATGCAAATTCAGAAATTTTCAAATTTAAAAATAGTAAGACACAGAAAGCTAGAATATTTTCACATCCTGGAAAATTGAATGTCATTACCCAAAGTGGAAGTTGCTGGGGAAATTCACCAAATATGATGGTCTCCAACTTGTTCTAGGCAGCAGTGTTTGGGATGCAACATTTAGAGAATAGGCCCACACTCACTGTTTCCTTTACTCAGGACCAAGTGTACTTAATGATAAGCAAATCTATTCCATTTGCCAAATGCACCCTCTATGAAATGCATGTTTATGTCACTAGAATTGCCCATTCCCAGGAAACTGCTCAACTGAAAACACATTTTAATGTTGGCACAATATTGAAATGAAGCATATTATAACCATGCTATTTTCCAAAAGATAGTTTTATATTCTTGTATTTAAACAAAAAAGAATCAACGACCAAAAATAAACTCAATATTAAAAAAAAATCTCATTTGCAAAATTGAACTGAAATTTAGCAGTTTTATCTAAAGAGCACAGAAGTCTGAGCTACGTCGACTCTGGGATGTGTGATAGAGTTTGGCCCAACTAGGCTGGGTCATCGACGCTGGCAAGCCTGAGGAAGACCCTCTACTCCTCAAGCCGAATCTCTAGCCTCTCCTAGGATCATGACAGAAACCATTTTAACTGCCGTTAAAAGGAGGTTGAGAGAGAATTAAGAAGGTCTCAGATGGGGCCCGGCGCGGTGACGCAGTGGTTAAGGTCCTCGCCTTGCACGCCCGGGATCCCATATGGGCACCGGTTCTATCCCTGCAGCCCCGCTTCCCTTCCAGCTCCCTGCTTGTGGCCCGGGAAAGCAGTCGAGGACGGCCCAAAGCTTTGGGACCCTGCACCCGCGTGGGAGACCCGGAAGAGGCTCCTGGCTTCGGATTGGCTCAGCTCTAGCTGTTGCGGCCCCCTGGGGAGTGAATCATTGGACAGAAGATCTTCCTCTCTGTCTCTCCTCCCTGTATATCCGCCTTTCCAATAAAAATAAAAAATAAATCTTAAAAAAAAAAGAAAAGAAAAAAAGAAATTAAAATGGGATATCCACTATTTAATTAAATTCTAAATTAAAATTATATTAATAAATATATTAAGTATAAAAACCAACAAAAAACATAAATGATGGCTGAGAACATTAAAGAAAATATTCAACTATATGGTATCTATAAAAATTATCTTAATACAATGATATATGAAAAATAAGACTAAAATTGTGGTTAACATAGAAATATTAATTAAGCAATAACAGCGGTGACTATACTAATACCAGATTAATCTTTGGAGCAAAAAAAAAAAAAAACTGTTGCCAGAGACAAATAAGATAATTTTAAAGTGATAAGACATGGTTCTCTCAAATATATATGCAACCAAAAGACAGCTGCAAAATATGTGCAGCAGAAATTGAAAACAAAAAAAGTAGACAATCCCAGAAATATAAGCAGAAGTCTTCTAGGGAAGTGACAGAAGACTGTCTGGAAAATCTCCAAACAATATATTTCTAAGTAATCTATAATTCAAAAAGAATCTGGTAAAGGAGTAGGCTATGGAAAAAAGAAAACATGAAATAGAATGAAAATGAACCTACAATACAGCAAAATTTGTGGGAGTGTCATGAACCGTGCTAGTAGGTTAAAGAACAGCAACACGTGCTCATGGCAGTCATCATGGAAACAGCATCTGAAGATATTCAACACCCGCTCATGATGGAACTATCCGAGAAAATGAAATCCAGAGAAATGTCCTCAGCTTGCTAATGAACGTGCACACACATCTCACAACCAGCACCATGCTACGTGGAAAGGAACAAGGCCCTCTCACCACTCATTGAGCACACGTGGAAACTTATACTCAATTCAATGGGGAAAGATATGGATGCAGATCAGGATGAAAGAAATAAAATGGTGCCCATTGGGTTGGCAAGGTGGCAGGATAGGGCGAGGACACATTTAAATTGATGGAGAATAATTAGCCAGAGTGAAGCGGATGGGACGAACTTCAGGAGCTAGGAGAGGCGAAGTCAATGGCAGAGGGGTGTCTACAGGGGGCACGGACGCTGGGAAGCAGCAGGGACAACAGAGTGGTGTTGCCGTGATCAGATACCCAGCAGTGGTCAGATGGCAGCAATCAGTGATCAGAGCTCTCCTGACAACAAGGTGGCAAGGGGAATTCACTAGGATCAGGAGGTGGACTAAGACAAAGAACTGCCCATCCTGCTGATTTGTTCAATTGACCACGAAGAGACGAGTGGCAGATGGATTTCACAGCACAAACTCCACCATTGCCACACTGGGCACCATTTTGTGTACTGTGGCAAAGGCTGAAGGAATTGGAGGGACAACAATAAGCTGCACATGTGCTAAGCCAGGAGCAAAATTAATTTTGGATCAGCACATTGCATTGATCCCAAAAGGAAATTAATACCGACTCAGCATCCTACAGGTTCCGACCAAACCAAGTCCAGGCAGACCCAGGACCCCACCAGTGCCACATCAGGTGCCATTCTGTGCACTGTGGCAAAGGCTGCAGGAATAGAAGCACAACAGATAGCTGAGCGTGTATTAAGCCAGAAGTGATAGAAGACATTTTGTGCAGTGTGGCAAAGACTGAGACCAGCATGAAAACAGTGAGCTGCACAGGTGCTAAACCAAGAGCAAAATCAGTTTGGGCTCAGTGCATTCCATTGATCCCACCAGGAAATCAGTACCGACTTGACATCCTGTGGGTTCCAACCAAAACGGGTCCAGGTGGTGCTCAGACCTAAAGGCCAGCAGGTTCTGGCAAGACCAGGGCCCAGTGAGTTAGGACAGCTGGCATCTCCCTAATCCAGGCATTGATGGGGCCAGAGATGAAGAAAGGTTATGCAGGCAAGGGTGCAGCCACAACGCAAAACCACAGGGGCTTAAGAGTGGTGAGCCAGGACCTGGGGCTACAGAGACCATGGTAGAAGCCTACCACAAGAATTCAGGAATGAAACTTGCTGGAGGGAGCAGCACAAGTGATTGCAAATGAAGAACCAGATACTCAACACAGTCAATAAAATTGATCTGTAGAGCAGTGGGCAACACAGCTTAGAAACCAGCCCTAAAGAGAGGAATCTTCTAACCAGAATAGCAATGACCAAGAGCAAAGGAAGAGACAAAGACACAGTGCATATTACAGATGCTTCCCCTGCAGGAACAAAAGCCTTTGTCAACCTCAGAGTTAAGTGAGGAAGACATCGAGAAAATAGGAGATTGAACAAACTTACAAAGTTTTGAATCAATAATGAGAAGCACATACAGGAGTTCAAAGAATTTAAGGAATGTGTCATACAACAAATAGCAGCAATGATTCAAATAAAAGCTGATATGCTGAAAATTAAGAACACAATAGAATAAATCTAAAATTTAGTGGAAAGCTTCAATAATACAGTGAGTGAGGCAGGAGAAAGAATCTCAGGATTTCTTCCACAATGGGGATACAATTTAAAAGCTGGAAATGGATCTAACTCAGTCAAAAAAAATTCAAGAATTAACAGACACCATTAAAATGCCAAATGTAAGAGTTATGGGAGTTCCAGAAGGTGCAGAAAGAGAAGCAGGGTTTAAAGATATATTTAATGAAATATTAAATGAAAACTTTCTAAATATGAAGAAAGAATTCAGAAACAACATCCAGGAGGAGCAAAGAACTCCCAACAGTGTTGACCAAAAGTCATCTTCACCAAAAGACAAGATAATCAAGCTCTTTTCAGTCGAAAATAAGCAAAAGAACCTTAAATATGCATGCAAAAAAAATCAATTCACGTTTAGAGTAGTCCCTATCAGATTCACAGCTGACCTCTCAGGGGAAACTTTACAGGCCAAAAGAGAATGGAGTGACAAATTCCAGATTTTAAAGCAGAAAAATTGTCAGCCCAGAATAACTTATCCCCAAAATCTTTCCTTTGTCCTTAAAATTAAATGAAATTCTTGCATAGTAGCAAAAAGAATTTGCCTTTTCTAGATCTGCTCTACAAATGATGCTTAAAGATGTTCTCTTGACAGAGACCAGGAATAGCACACACCAAAATCAAAGGCAAACCTGAAGAACATCCCAGGAAAAGAC